ACATTGTTCACAAATAACTTCCTAAAGACATGGGCTTGCTTTTTTGTTATACTCTTAAATCTTATTCTATAATACCATCCCTTCTTTCCTTTTGCCACACCACTGCTTGCTCAACAAAACAGCATCATTTGTCCAGTGGAACGTCCCTTATTCTGGATTTTCCTACTAGTTTCTTTACTTAATATCGGGTTGTCAGGAAAGTCATGACAAATTTTTGCATAGAAAAACAGGAAAATACATCACAACTTTTCCAGCAACCCAATATAATCCTATTTTCTACATGTCTTTTTAAAAAAATAATTATGTATTTAATTTTACTATTGTTATTATTATTTTCTTTTATAATTTGCTATAGGGCACATGTGCTCACCAGAGACAGAGAGGGAAAGTGAAAAAGCGAGTGCCAGGTCCAGGACTTGAGCCAGTGAGCCATGTGGAAATCCAATGCTTTAACTGTCATGTCACATGCTGACCCTTATTTTCTATATTTCTTATAAATTCAAAGTCAGATTAAAACTGAATCCAGTCAGGTAGCTAGTGGCATAGTAGTAATGGCAGCTGGATTACACACGGCCAACAGTGTAGTTTGAATCCCGGATTAGGCAGCCTGAAAAGCATGCCAGGCACTTGTGTGTGCATTCCCCAAATCCTGAGAGTTGAAATGGAAGTAGAAGGAATTATGATATGGCCATCCCTCATGGCAGGTTCTCTCTCTCTCCCTCTCCGCCCTTCCCTCCCCCCCTCCCCCCGCTCAAGCCTGAAAACTATGCCAGGCACATGTGTGTGCATGCCTAAAATCCTGAGAGGAGAAATGAGAGGAGAAGGGATTGTGATATGGTCAACCCTCATGGCGGGTTCTTTCTCTCTCTCTGGAGAATGCACATATTCTCTAGCAAGTTAAAGAACAATCCCATTCAAACTTTTTTCAGACAAAATATTTCACTTGTGGTACTATGTATTTCCCACAGCATCAGATCAGGAGGTACGTATCTGGTGGTTCCACTTTCACTGATTCTAAGACTAATCAGTGGATTCAAAGCCTAATTCTCTGATTATAAAGGGAACCCAGAAGAGTAAGGGAAAAATGATCCAGTCTATAATAAGGCTTTGGCACAAGACAGCCAGCAAACCCAATATACAGTAATAACAGATGCACAAAGTTACCCTTTTTGAAAAAGAAATATGTGGTATTTACTCAAGTCTTCAGAAAAAGAGAAACATCTAACAGCTCATCCTATTGCTAATAAACCCTCAATAAAATTGTTTTTGTTGATCAATATGTCAAATGATCATTAAAAATTTATAAAGGAGTCAAGGTGAAGAGTTTCAAAGTCTATTTCAAGGATTCTTACAATTCAGTATGTGGTCTTGCTTATTTCTTTTCATTTGTATGCCCAAATTTACCTGTTTAAAAGTAAAATGTCACCAACTTGATCTTAATTCAAAGGATTATGGGGAATATAAAATAAAACATAAAAGTTAAAAAGTTAGCTATGGGCAAATAAAGATTTTTATTAGATTTTTACTAGAACATAGGGCAAATGCAGTAAACTAAAAGCTTAAGAAGCCACCCATAATCTCAATTTAAGAGTTCTTATGAATGAATTAAAAGTAAACTCTGGAGCCAGTAGGTGGCATGGAAGTTAAAGTGCAGGCTCCCACAAGGCTGAATGCATGGTGAGTTCCGGACCCAGTGGCTTGAAAATCATGCTGAGTGCATATGTGCATGCCCAAAATCCCAAGAGGAGACTAGAGCAAAAGGGAATGCGACATGACCATCCCCCAGAGGGTGATTTCTCATTATCTCTGTCAGTCTCTGGCAATCCAAACAAACAAAAAGGCAACTCTGCAGATATGCTAGTGCTCTTAATAATTCACTTACAGTTGGCTACTACCATGTGATTATTTCACTGAAAGCTACATTGTATTAAATGTAGTTATTAATCAGTAATCATATTAAATCATATTTAAAATCTTATTTAATATGGTCTACCCTAAAATAAGAGCAAATGAATAATAATCTTTTTAAAAATGTATTTTTTGAGCCAGAAAATAAAAAAGACAGCATCTACGACAGGATCTTTTTTTTTTTTTGAGAGGTTTTTGCTACAGGGTGCATGCGCTTGCCAGAAAGACAGAGACAGAGAGAGAGAGAAAGCGAGAAATCACCGCCACCCCCCCACCCCCCCCCCCCCCCCGTGCGCGCGCGCGACACCCCCCGGGGATGGTCATGCCACAGTCCCTTCTCCTCCATTCTCCTCTCAGGATCTTGGGCACGCATGCACACATGCCCAGCCTGAGGCTAAGCCACTGGGTCCAGGACTCGAACCGTGGTCAACTACATGGGAGTCCAGCAACATAGACATTTTGTCAACAGCTGGTCCCTACAACAGGATCTTGACACTACAATTTACCCTTAGCCTCAACCAGACCCAAAAAATAGGCATGTGTATGTGCAGTGTATTCGGGGAGGTCTCCAGTTCCAAACTTGGAATATTCCCATGTGAATTGTCCTGCACGACACTGCCGTTTGCTGCTACGCCACCATCCGGCCCATAACCTAGTTATCTTAATGCCATAACACTTGATTAGGAGACCCATCCCTGAAGCTACTGAATTCCCTAAACAACTTTTTTCTAAACCAGGAAAGGATATGGAGTTCAATCTCATGTTTCCATCTACAAAGTTTTTTTGTTTGTTTGTTTTTTATTTCTCCTGTGAGAGATAAACACAAAGGGCACCCATCCCTGACCTTATCCAGCCAGGAACACAAGTGCACTCAGCAGGTACAGGAAGACCTTGGGACACAAGCCGGGGGCCTTCCCATATGGCTTCAGTATCAGAGAGCATGACGTTACTATGGCGCCACCAAAGTTGTCCTTTACATGTTTAATACATTATATAACTTGACAAATAATCAGCATAAGCCAACAAACTAACTCCACCTCCTTCCTGCAAAGATTAAACTCAATAATATTGTTCTGAAGAAAACTGCTGTGTAAAATATTCTGAGCACACTTTGTTACCCAGCTAGGGACCCTGACCATCAGGCTTCAAACAAACTTTTTTTTTCTTAAATAATTATTTATTATCACTATTTTTCAATTTTGACCAGAAACAGAGAGAAAGAGAGAGCAAGCCGCCAAGTCCAGGACTCGAACCGCAGTTGGCCATGTGGAAGTCCAGTGCCCTTAACCACCATGCCACCTGCCAGCCCATCAAACCAACTTTTCTCAACTCTCACCACCAAATAACCTTTAACCACATTTTGCATGTGAGGGGTCTGGTTCAGTGACTCCCCACATGTCATTTTGGAAGACTAGTCTCAAACACACGAAGCTAGTTACTCTTGATTTTTATATTAGAAATACATAAAAGATAAGCAGTGTCTTTTTTTTTTTTTTTTTTTTTTAAGAACTTTGAGTCCAGGGCCAGCAGTGTGTGTTTAGGGCACTGGACTCCAACGTGGCTGACTGCAGTTAGAGTCTCAGACCAGGTGGCTTGAAAACCATGCTGGGAATGTGTGCATGACTGTCCAAAATCCCAAGAGAAGGCTGGAGGAAAAGGGATTGCAGAATGGCCATCCCTCTAGAAAATGATTTCTCATTTTCTTTCTCTCTGTCTCTCCCTAGCAAGCATACACCCTGTGGCAAAAATCTTTAAAAGAAAAAAAAAGGAAAAAAAAGAACTTTATGAGCCTGTCATCTGGAGGAATCAACAGACATTTTCTTAATTGCATGAATCTGGTCAAAATTACAGTACTACTGTCTGAAATTCTCACCAAGACATCATTATTATGCTTTGGAAACTGCTTACATAAACTATTCAACTGTGCTAAATTGTTTACACACGATCACTACAGTGCCACCACCTGAGTGAAATGAAGCAAAGTAATATTTTTATTATTTTATTTTAAATAATTTTATTGTTTATTTTTAATTATTTTATTTTATTTTAAAATACTACTTTCTATATACTGGGTATGTGTGCGTGCATGCCCAAAATCCTGAGAGGAGGGAACCAGCAGTTAGCGTAATGGCTATGTCGCTGGATTCCCACGTAGTCGACCGCGGTTCGCGTCCCGGACCCGGTGGCTTAAAACACGCCGGGCGCGTGTGCATGTGTGCCCAAGATCCCGAGAGGAGAATGGAGGAGAAGGGATTACAGCGTGACCATCCCCTCTGGGGGGTGATTTCTCGCTTTCTGTCTCTCTGTCTCTCTCTGTCTGGCGAGCGCACGTGCCCTATAGCAAAAACCTCTCAAAAAAAAAAAAAAATCCTGAGAGGAGAATGGAGAAGAAGGGACTGCAGCATGGCCAACCCCATGGTAGGCTATTTCTCGCTTTATGTCTCTCTCTGTCCCTTCAACCAGCACACATGCTCTATAGCAAAAATCTCTCTTAAAAAACAAACAGGGGCTTAGAGGTGATGTGGTGGTTAAAGGCGCCAGATTCCCACATGGTTGACAGTGGTTTAAGTCTTGGACCTGGAGGTTTGCTTTCCCACTTTCCCTTTCTCTCTGGTCAAATTTTATAATAATAATAATAATAATAATAATAATTGGAATTAAATAAATAATTCTATAAACAAACAAACCACAGGAGCAGTTATTTTTAAAATATACTATAACCAGGCCAGGCAGGTGGCGTGGTGGTTAAGGGCGCTGGACTCCCACAGGGCCGACCATGGTCCAAGCCCCAGACCTGGCAGCTTACTTTCTCATTTTCCTTCTCTCTCTTTCTCTGTACCTCTCTGGTCAAATTTAAATAAGTAAATAAATAAAGCTAAACAAAATAATTATTTTAAGATATATGTGTGTGTGTGTGTGTGTGTACACCATACCCTTTACAAAAAAAAGCCTACACCAAGACCACAAGTCACAAGGGAAGAATTTTGTGTTCTCACACACCCAAGAGTTGGAGGATGGAGAAAAATCTTTGAAAAATCTAACAGCAATAGGTTTAGATACATGATCTTAATTTTAAATATAAAAGTTCTTACCTCCCACTGTAAGTGAGGCGGGATATTTCGTATTTGAAGCTTCCGAATCCTGTAGAAGAATTTAAAAATTTTTAAAGAAAAAATATAAAGCAAAAGACATTAATAGCCAATATTGAAGCTTAAAAACTACTTAAAATATTCATTTTATATTAACTACAAACCAATATATAGTTTTAAAAAAATGCAGCTAAAGAAGGAAAGAGCACATTGCAGACACATATTGAGACCATTTGATGATTGAGCATTACTGGATTGTTGTGACATATTTTTAAAGTCACTAAAATGGGCAGGTATAATGCTCAAAAATAATTTAATCTGATGACTATATTCTAAATTCAAAGCTTTCAGCCTCAAATTAAGCATCCCAGGGCACAGAGCCTTAGTCCAGATCCTCTTACTCTGAGATTGCAGCCAAGAAGTCGATGGATAGAATTCAGGAAACTCAGGGCAGAGTAGGGAGAGCTTATATTTATTGTCACTCTCTCCTAACTGAAATTTAGCACTTCCTTCCATTATGAATGTTGTTGACATGAAACCACAGAATTACAGTACTTGTAATTTTGACATCAATACAAATCACACACTGTATTTTCATACTACTTTAAGTTGTTGCAGATCTTTAAATATCATCTACACTCATCACTGTGAAATTCAGATGTGTTGCTATCACTTGTTACTGTGTGAAGAAGCACATACTACCATGAGCTCTACATTTTACTAACTGTATTTCAAAATAATTAGTTTCCTTCATAATCCTATCTTTTTATGCACTTAAAAACATGTTAAGAACAGGTCTGTAGGTTTTAGATGTGTGTATGACGTATGTATATATGTGAAAGGAGGCAGGGAGAGAAATAACACAACTACAAATCAATTCTCGGCCCACCCTAAACTGGCCACACACAGTAATGCATACATCAGGGGTTATCCAACTTAATTGTAAGACTGAGGCAGGAGGACTATGACATAGTGAGACCCAAAAATCTAACTCTGTTTTCCTCTCTCAGGAAAAATAACCAGCTTGACATCTCAAGTGAAATAATTAAATTAATTTCTAAAATTAGAACTACAGTGAAATTTCCTTTCCAAATCAAATAATCCTTGACTTTGAAGAACCAAAGCAAAACTCCAGTTTGGACTAGATTCATAGCCTAGTTGCTCACCTCATCCCTTTCCTCAAAAGCAAGAGGACAAATAAATGCCACAGTTGCTGGGGCCGACAGGTAGTGTGGTGGTTAAAGGTGCTGGACTCCCATATGGCCAACCATGGTTCAAATCCCAGTCCTGGTGGCTTCCTTTCTCACTTTCCTTCTCTTTCTTTGGTCAAATTAGAAAATAATAATAAAGTTAAAATAATTTTTTAAAAAGCCATACTTGCTGCCGCTTTTAATGAACTCCAGAGAAAATGCAGATCAACCAAACTCAGGTATGTGTTGTCTGCAATCATACTATGGAGACAGAAAGGGAGATGTACTTTAAAATTTCTTTTATGACACAGTAAAACAGCACAATCATCAGGGACAATATATGAAGAGATGATGAAAGTGTGTCAATTTAAGGAAAAAAAATGCCAAAACTACCTAGTTAGAATTTACAGACGAAATGCTAGCCTGGGATTTGTTTTAAAATAACTCATGTACTGAAATTTTTTTTCTTTTGGAGAGGTTTTTGCTATAGGGTGCGTGTGCTCGCCAGACACAGAGAGAGACAGAAAGCGAGAAATCACCTCCCAGGGGGGATGGCCACGCCACAATCCCTTCTCCTCCATTCTCCTCTCGGGATCCTGGGCACACACGCACATGTGCCCGATGTGAATTTAAGCCACCAGGTCCGGGATGTGAACTGCGGTCGACTACATGGGAGTCCAGTGACATAGCCATTACTCTAACTGCTCGTCCCAATAATTATTAAAGCTGCATTAAAGATACTAACTCTCTGCTTTCCACACATTTATATTTTCTATAAAATGCTAAAAAAATACACCCTAACAAAAAATTACTGGGACCAACAGGCAGCGTGGTGGTTAAGGTGCTGGCCACTCCCACATGGCTGACCATGGTTCAAGTCCTAGACCTGGTAGCTTTCTTTCTCACTTTCCCCTCTCTCTCTCTCTCTCTCTCTCTCTCTCTCTGTCTCTTTCTGTTCAAATTAAAATGAAGAAATGAATGAATAAATACATTTTAAAATCTTTCTGGTTAAAAAAAAATTTTTAAACAAATCACAGATTTCAGAACTGCTATATATTGCTTCAGCTAACAGAAAAGTTCTCATACTGTGTAAATATTTACCCTGGGTGACCAAGGAGGTCACTAATCTGTCTTAATTAAGCATCTGGCACAGTAAAGATTAGCAGCAGTGTTAGTTGATCTTTGCTAAAATTATTTTTTGTGTGTATATATATTATTACCAAATACTTGCCCCCAAAATTCACATGTAAATATACATACAGAGTTCAGGTAAATTCACAGGTAAGTGATTCACATTATAGAAACATGGCCACTTCATGGGACCAGCAGATGGCATATGGCCATGTCGCTGGACTCCCGTGTAGTCAATCATGGTTTGAGTCCCAGACCTGGTGCCTTACCTTAACGCCGGGCACATGTGAGTGTGTGCCCAAGATCCAGAGAGAAGAATGGAGGAGAAGGTATTGCGGTATGGCCATCCCTCCTGGGAGGTAATTTCTCACTTTTTGTCTCTCTGTCTCTCTCTGTCTTCCTGGCGAGCACATGCGCCCTATAACAAAAACCTCTCCAAAATAAGAATAAAAAATAAAATAAAATAAACATGGCCACTTTACAAGGCTCCCAAGAAATTCTTTACATAGAACACTGTCATCTTTTGTGTATTATTGTAAAAGTAATCTGTTAGCCATTTCCCAAGGACTTTCTACTCATTCTTCAAAAGGTACATCCAACACCCATTTATTTATTGGAAATTACTCTAGAATAATTATTTCCCTTAAATGATGTCCAGTTTCTATCATCCAATTCTCTCAAGTTTCAATTTAGACAAACATTAGAATTACTTTCATACACTTAGTGTTTTGATATCTATATATATTTTTTTTTCCATTTACTCACCAACCTTAAACTCTGTATGTAGCTGTACAGTGGCTCCTAACCCTGTGCTCCACTCTTAACATATAAGAACCAAAGGGCTGGGGCCAGCAGTTAGCATAATGGGTATGTTGCTGAACTCCCATGTAGTCAACTGTGGTTTGAGTCCCAGACCCGGTGTCTTGAATTCACACCAAGCACATGTACTTGCATGCCCAAGATCCCAAGAGGGGAATGGAGGAGAAGGCATTGTGGTGTGGCCATACCCCGGGAGGTATGGGGGTGATTTCTCGCTTTTTGTCTGTCTCTGTCTTTCTGGTGAGTGCATGCACCCTATAGCAAAAACCCCTCCAAAAAGAAAAAAAAAAAAAAGAACCAAAGGCCTCAACCTTAAAAGACTTCATCTGTAACCATGCATCACAGAAACACCAACTTCTGACATAGAAAGAACTTGAGAAAATCTCCCTCACTCAGCTGTACTTGTCAAGTCAGCTGTACACAATTAAAACACAATCACCTGCCTCTTAGATCATTTCCCATCTGTGCTTCAAGAACAGTTATGTTTAGGTTTGATGCCAAATACTTTAAAAAGTCAAGAAAAAAATTTTCTTACGAATAATTTAATTTTATTTATTATTTTTAATTTGCTACAGGGCAAATGTGTGTGTGTGTGAGAGAGAGACAGAGACAGAGACAAAGAGAGAGAAGGCGAGAAAGTAAGCCTCCAGGTCCAGGACTTGAACTACAGTCAGCCATCTGGGTGTCCAATGTCTTAACCACCACACACCTGTTGGCCCTATAAATATTTTTAATTGCTAGAGGACGCAGGAGTGAGCAAAAGAGACAGAAGGAGAGAGAGGTATACTCAGATTGTAGTCACAATCTCTTCTTCCTTCATTTTCCATTTTGTCAGGCTTCAGGGCATAAGCACACATGCCTAGTGTGTTTCTAAAGCTTGAACCACCTGGTCTGCAATGTGGATCCTGCACCCCAACCACCAGGCCACTGGCTATACGGGAGGTGGTGGTGTGGTGCTGGTGTGTGCATGTGTATATATATATATTTTTTTTTTTTCAGGTTTTTGCCATGCAGTGTGTGCACTCTCTAGAGAGATAATGAAAGTGAAATTGAGAAATCAACCCCTCCCTCCAGGAGGTGGAAGGAATGGCCCTTCTCCTCCTGGGATTTTGGGTACCCATGCACTGGAATTTTAAAAGACTGTCTCTACGAAATTGATTATAAAGTCATTAAAATTCAATCTATCAGTAAGTGTTTCCCCCCCCCCCCCAAAAAACATGCATAAGTAGTAATAAATAGGACGCATGCCCCACTCAGAACTAGTTAGGTTGCCTTGTTCACAGGTGCTTCCAGATCCTTTGACAGTGCTTGGACTTGATAAGCACTCAATTGATAGTTAAATCAAAATATGTTGTAATACAAAAAAGGTAAAGAAAACCACAAGACTCAAGGGCCTACCATCCAGAAACTAATATTTTCTATGATTTTCTTACAGCTTATAAAAGAACTGAAGAGTATCAATTTAAGCATTCGCATTTTTAAAAATTTCAACATAATCTATTATTCCTCTTTCCCCCAATGTAATTCTCACCCGGTTTTCTTTTTATAATTCTCATGGGTCTATTTATAACTACCAGTATCTTTATTTTTTTTTTTTTAGTTTTATTTATCATCATCATTATTATTTTAACTCATCAGAGGAAGACACATAGGAGGGGGGGGGGGGGGAAGTGAGAGAGTAAACCACCAGGTCCAGGCCTAGAACCACAGTCAGCCATGTAGGAGTCCAGTCCCTTAACCACACCACCTACTGCCCCAATACCAGTATCTCTTAAAAATTATTTTAATTTCTTTTTTGAGAGGTTTTCGCCATAGGGTGTGTGCACTAGCCAGACAGACAGACAGAGACATAGAGATGGAAAGCGAGAAATCACCCCCCAGGGGGGATGGTCATGCCACAATCCCCCTCTCC